TCACCCTATATTTGATTTGATAGTCGGAATAAATTTTATTGAGAGACTAGAACACGTCTTCTTCCTTTCGACTTTAACCATCTTCCTTCCACCTCACAAATGCATTTTAGCATATTTTTGCAAAGCCAAAGTTTTTTTATGTAGAAGTCTTCAAGGAATCTACATAAATTTATCTGACCCATGAGAGCCAATTTATAAAAGATCCTACACCAAGATAGCTTTATACTCGTGACGGATTAGGACATGTCTTCTAAGAAGATTTTTAAGAGTTTATATATACAGAAAAGACAAATAAGTTCATATATATCAATAAAAAAAACTTAAAACTACAGAAGGTTGCAGAAGGACCTCTAAACTGTAAATGTCCTCCTCTTCCAGCCTAACTCAAAATTTTATAGGGAAGTTCATGAATATATTTTAGAAGGACATATAAAAAGTTAGTGCACCGACCTGTCCTATAATTCTGATGTTTATTCTCTTTGATGTCAACAAACTGTGCATTTGGGAATCTGTTCTATGTTCATTTAAGGTCCTTGAACGAGGGCAGTCAGATGGAAAATTTACAATATAGATAGCAACAACTTGACAGACTAAAAGATACAAATAAAAACTGTTAGGCACAAGCATATGTACAATAAAGTGGGTCGTAAAGTAATATAAAATATAATTATAAGGCTTAATATGATTAAAGAATTGTCACAAAATAAACACTATAGACAATTTTCACAGAAGTTCCATAGAATCTACTTACCCGCGAAATATATTTCAATAGATATACTCCCCCAGTTGAAATTTATTGTTTTCCCAGACACCCACAACACAAAAAAAGTGAACAAACCCTAAAGTGTGTCAGGCAGACATTTACTTTTTTTATACTTTTATGATGACGACAACTAAAGTGACTATCAGAGGGGAGTGCAAAAAAAAAAAAAAAACAATAATAATGCATTGCCAAAACAAATTGTAAGGTTTGCATTGATGTTGAGCAGAAATCGGGGGAATGCAAATATATGCCTTCGATAAATTTTATGAATTTCAAGAGAAATGTGTTTTTTCTGGGGGAGACTTCGGTTTTTTGTTGTAGTTCCGTTGATGCATAAGCAATTGTGCAGACAATTTGCACGGCACTTTGAAGTGTTAACTTAATTGAAATGGAAGATAAGTTTTGTGTTCACTGCTAGGAAATTTAAGATGTATGCAATTAATTGTGGCAAGTTGAAGAGTGGAAATTAAAAGCAAATAATTTTAATTGGAAATTATTTAAAAAAAATTTTATTCGAAATACCATTAATTATTGTTACCGGACCATATAGCGTATAAGTTATGTCGATGCGTATACGCCACAATAGTTTTAAATGAAATAGAAACTAATTAAAAAGTTGAACAAACATTACTTTAATGCCATAAACCCAATTAAATATTGTTTTTGGGCATTAAATTTCAAATGAAATAGAATGTAAAATCGCTAATTTACTTAACGAGTTTCACTACTCAAAAAATCATTTTTAAGACGAATTTTAAATTATGAATTTCCGAATTTCCGAGTATAACCATGTACACAATTATTTGCAAAGAGATCACCAGATGTCAGTGCTAAATTTGTGTAGATCAAGATCAAGTATGCTTTGATTTATTTATGCCAGGCTCTACGTAAAAACCAGAAAAGAAAATCCTAAAGTCGGGAGGGACCGACTTTATGATACCCTACACCACTTTGCTAATTTAGTAGAGCTCCACGTAACAATTAAAAGTTTCTATGGGAGAATTCAATCATACACGCTATGATTATAATTATAGTTTAAAGTTCAAAATACTAAATTTGCAGAAGCATTTGTATCTTTTAAATTCGGACTTGTATTACCCATTTGGTGCACAATTAACTTGAAATCGGATAAATATATATATGGGAGCTATATCCAAATTGGAACGGATCTCGATAAAATTTGGCAAAGATATATTTCCCTGAATATCGTTGTTACGGAGTGCATATTACGGCTGTGGGTAACAAATATAACAAATCGGATGAACGGTATATAAATTTGACATACTGGCTTCCAGACTAAATTCGGTCCTAAGTACCAAATTCCATCCCATTTGGACAAATATTAGACGTTTGGTGCACAATATAAAGTAAATCGGACGAGCTATGTCCAAATCTGAACCAATCTTGATAAATTTAGCAAAGTTATTTCTGAGCTGTATTCCATATATTTATCTGAACATTGTTGTTACGGAGTGCATATTACGGCTGTGGATAACAAATACAACAAATCGGAAGAACAATACATATAGGAGCTATAGCTATATCTGAACCGATTTCGATCAAATTTGGCCTGCTTATTTTCAGGCCTAATTTGGTTGTATGTGCAAAATTCCATACTATTCGTGCTGATACCGATTTTCTCCAATTTCAATAGGGTTCGTCCTTAAGCCAAACAAATGATGTGTACAAAATTTCATCTCAATCGGGCAATAACGCGAACTGTACTTTGTTTAGAAAAATACATGGACAGACAGACGGACGGACGGACATATACAAATCGACTCAGAATGTGATTCTACGCAGATCATCAAAAGGAACTATAGGTCTATCTCGTTTCCTTTTGCCTTTTACAAACAAATGCACAAAGAAATAATACCCTGACCACCTTGTGGTGTAGGGTATAAAAATTTAACTCATTGTTCTACAGATATCAATATGGAATTAAGATACCTAAAAAAATAGGAATTGCCAACTCAAATGAGGCTTTTTTGAGTTATGCTACTCTGAGTAAATGAGTAATAGATGCACGTTAGTTGAATGAAAACTTAACTAATTTTTTTGAAAGGCGTGTTTTGATGTTCGGCACGACCTAAGTGAAAAAAATTGCTAATCAACGTGGAGACAAAACGGCTGAATGAAAGTCACTGATGGAGTTAAGGTTACGAAAAGTGCTCAAATGGTGCTCAAATTCTAAAATAGTACCATTCGGAACTATGTGAACGGATATAGCTAAAAAATTTAAATTTGGTACGGGAATCAAGGATGTTAAGTATCTGTAATATATGAAGGTGGTTATGGAAATGTGTACTAAGCTTGCTAACCGTACTAAATGGTACCGAATTCGGAACAGTGTTGTTACGGGCGGAATTTTAAAAATGTTATTGGTTTCCTTTTGGTGGTTGGCTTATGATAAAGAGCTAATTTTTGAATTTTGTGCTACAAGTTCACGGGAAGTACTAAACAGTACTACTGGTATTGACTGAACAGATAGTGCTTAAAATCAAAAATTCGGTATTAGCGTTAATTTTCATGTGTAGCCTGGATATATGGAAGTGATTTCGGAAATGTGTACTTTAATTGTACGAAAAGTACTTAATGGTACTAAATATAGTAATGGTACTAATTTGATGTTGCTATCTGAATTTGAGATATGGAGGTAGTATTGGAAGTGTGTACTATAATTATTCGAAAAGTACAAAGTGGTACTGAATTGGGTATTGGGTTAAAAGATAGAGATAAAATTCTGAAACGTGATGCATAGATTCCTAGAGGCATGGTTGAAAACAAAGAGTTGAAACTGTGAAATTTCATATTGCGATAACTGTTTGTATCTAGGATTGAGAAAAAACGTATCAAAATGTTATTCAATTTAGTATTGGGTCAAGGAATATAGCTGGAATCCTGAAATTTAATATAGATGTCACTGTTAGTGTCTGTGGTTAATATACGGAGGTGGATTCGGAAATGCCTCCTATAATTATACGAAAATAACTAAATGGTATACAATTTGGAATTAGGCGAAGGGATAGGACTGGAATCCTTAAACTTGATATTGAGGTCTCTCTCTGTTGGTATCTGGATTAGAGATATGGAGGTAGTTTTGGAAATGTATGAATTCATTGAACGAAAAGTATTTGAAGTCACTAATTTTGGATCACTGTTGGTGACTAAGATGGATGTATTGGATATGCGTCCTAAATGTTACTACATTTGTTATTGGTATTTGATATTGAGGTCACTGTTGGTTTCGGGGTTTACATATGGAGACGTTGAAATAGTTTTGGACAGAAAAATTTAATGTCGATCCATTTTGCAATGGTGGTGCTAATATCCTCCTTGGTAAGCTTAAAAGTGGAAAGATTTTTAAAATTTTTTGTTAAAGTTAAACCTTTTGTTATTCATTCCGAAGAATTGATAACTCGAACAATATATGTAAAATCTTCAAAGTCTTAAAATATATGCATAGTGGTGTATGGCATCATATAGTCGGTCCTGCTCTCTTTGGCTTTTCGGTACTGGTTTTATATTATTATTTTTCTATTTTATGTGTAATATTAATTCCTTGACACACCTAGTACCAAGAACTTAATAAACTATATATAAAATCCAATGATGGAGCTCATAAAACATGTACATATAGTACCATTTAATACTTTTCGTACAATTATATGACACATTTCCGAAAACCATTTCCATATGTTCTGGCTACATAATAATAGCGACCCTATTACCAAATACACATTTCTAAAACCGGCTTAATATATCAAACTTTCTTTTCTAACTTCTATCCTGCACACCATCAGAGCCTTCTTAGACTTCTAGCTTAAAATCAGTAGAAAATTGTCTGTGCATTCCCACGTTTTATAATCGGTATTTTAATGATTTTAGCTACATTAGTCACCGATTTTTTTTAAGTTTCACATTTGAATATTGAAATGGCTTATGTCAAAAGTTGCCTATGCAGGTCCATGTCGTCGTATAAACCTTAACAGCTACATTCGGTATTTTTAAGATTTAAACAGAATTTTTAAGGGATTTTTTTATTATTATTATTATTATTATTTTTTTTTTTTTTTTTTGAAAATTGCCAAATTTGCCAATGGTGGAGGGTATTCAATGTTCGGGCTGACTGAACTTACAGCTTTTTTACTTGTTTTTTAATACCTTTTAGTACACTTATAGTTCTAATCCTACCGAACTTTTTAAACGTAAATAGTAAATTTATTTTTATTTACAGCGCGTTGGCTTCATATCCTTGGCTTTGGGCATGTTTATATCCTGTTTGTTTGGTTTCATATTTGGCTTAATTTTGGGTACCACAGAAATGCCATGGGGTAGCGGTGATTGGCCTACTGAGGAGATGCGTGGAAGGTAAGTAAGATTTACATGTGTACACGTTTATTCTGTTTGGCAGTCAACTCACAACTGACTCGATTTATTCATACAACTCTTATTGTGTAGCAATGTGGTTATCGATTACTTGTTATCTTGCTACAGCTCGGGCAACCTGACGGTTGTGACCGCCCCGGTCACACGGGGTAAACTTAAAATAGACTAGAATACTTAAATAAATGGACTAGATACTTATTCTACTTAACCTAAACTATGTACAATCTACTACTAATATATACATTACGGGTTAGAGCAACCCTGAGTCCCGTTATCCGGATCGTTCATCTTCCATAAGCGCATGTTACATGCTTCTATCACTCCCTCATAAGGTATCTGGGTGATTTGACAATTCTCTATGTCACCAACGACATACCTGTCGTTCGGTAACACCTTACGCACGGTGTATGGCCCTTTAAATTTCGGAATTAATTTCTTATTAACCCCCGCGGTGGTGTCCACATTTTTGATTACTACAAAGTCACCTTCCTTAAACGAACTCACAGTAAGACCTTTCTCCTCAAATCTCCGCTCATTATATTCTTGCGACCTCGCAATGGCAGCCGCCGCTTTATCTCTGATCTCTTGGATACCCCCCCCGGGGTCCAAAAAGTTCTCCTCAAGGTATTCTGACAGTTTGTCTACTATCTCTCCTCTCTGGTTAACCCCAAACAAAACTCTACTAGGGGTGTCACCAATAGACCTATTTACAGTGTTGTTAAATGCAAACTCTATTTTGCTAAGTTGTTTCACCCAATCGGCGTGTTGTACAGGTTCGCTGAGTTTTGCTAGCATTCCTACCAAAGTCCTATTTACCCGCTCAACCTGTCCATTCGCCTGGGGTGAATGCACTGCCACTTTCACATGATTTATATTTTTCTCTTCTAAAAAGTCGGCAAACTCCTTTGATGTGAAACAACTCCCTCTGTCCGTTACGCATCTAACCGGTCTGCTGTAGTAGTCAAAATATTTGAGAAGCGCTGCATTTACTTCCTTGGTGCTCGTTGTTAAAACCGGATAAAGTCGAACAAATTTTGTGAAAGCATCGATTATGACTAAAATGTGCTTTCTTTTCGACTGCAATGATGGTAATGGGCCCAAATGATCCAAATGAATTGTGTGAAAGGGTCTGGGTTCTTTTGGGATGCTATGTAGTGCCCTCGCATTTGGTTTGTGAGGGGCTGAATACATGATACACTTAAGACAATTCTTTTTCTGTTCCTCTACTTTTTGTTTCATTTCTGGGAACCAATAGTGATCTTTTAATTTCAGATAGCATTTGTCAACCCCTAAATGACCTAACTTTTCATGCATTTCCCGTATCACTTCCATTTCCATGCTTTTAGGTACGAAGAACCGCAAAGAATCATTAATTTTTCTATATATAACCCCGTTTACCATATCATATCCGTTCACGGTTCTATTTTCAAGTTTCGACTTTAGCTCACTTATTTCCTTATCCCTAGCTTGGGCCGCACATAATTGGAAGTCTATATCCTCTATTTCGATTGTCGCTACTACTTTGTTACTATTCTCTGGTTCGATTCTAGACAGTGCATCGACGTGGGCCATTTTTTCCCCTGGCCTATGCATAATGGTGTAATTATAATTCTCTAGTTCAAGGGCCCATCGTGCAATGCGGCTGTTGATATTTCGTTTCCCCAATGTCATAGCTAGAGAGTTACAGTCCGTCATTATTTTGAATTTAATCCCTTCTAAGTACGCTCTAAATCTTCTCAGGGAATAAATTATCGCCAGTGTTTCCAGTTCGAAGCTATGGTACCTTGTCTCCGCGTCTGTCGTCCTCTTTGAGAAGTAGGCTACAGGGTGGAACACGCCATCATCCTGTTTTTGCAACAATATTGATCCGAATCCTATTGCACTTGCATCACAGTGCAATTCTGTTTCCCTATTCGGGTTATAAATAGCTAGGATTGGACTCGAAGATAACCTTTGCTTCAGCGTTTCAAACGCTTCCTTACGCTCATCCGTGATTTCATACTTGACCTCTTCCTTTGTCAGTTCATACAATGGCTTGGCTATTAGAGAAAATCCCTGTACGAATTTTCGAAAATAAGAGCATAGTCCAAGAAAAGCCTGCATTTCCTTAATGTTTTTCGGCATCGGGTACTTCCCGATTACTTCCACATGTTCGTCCGATGGTTCGATTCCTTTCCGTGATACCTTATACCCAAGGTATTCAATTTCACTATACGCAAACTTGCATTTTTGGATTTTAATTTGAAGCCCATACATAGCTAAACGGTCTAATATTTTTCCTAGTAGTTGGATATGCTCCTCCAAAGTCTTTGACGCTATCACTATGTCATCCATATAGACTACCATTTCGCCCCGCTTCAGAAAATCTTGAAAAATTCCGGCTATGAATCGTTGAAATACCGCTGGCCCATTTTTTAAGCCAAATGGCAGCCTTAAGAACTCGTATTGGCCATTCGGTACCACAAACGATGTGTATTTCACCGATTCCTCTTCTAATCTGACATGGTAGAAGCCTGACTTGAGGTCCATTATGGTAAACCATGATTTTCCCTCCAGGTACTCCAAGCAGTCTTCTATTAGTGGGAGGGGGTAGTTGTCCCGTACTATGATTTTATTCAGGGCCCTGTAATCTACGCACATCCTTACCTCACCACTTTTCTTCTTGGTTAGTACTATGGGCGAAGCGTAAGGGGAGTTGCTTGGTCGTATTATTCCCTTTTCCTGCAGGTCCGCTATAATTTTCCCTACCTCCTGTTTTTCGGCAAAAGATAATCTCCGAGGTGAACAGTAGGTCGCGTTTCCCGTCGTTACCAAAATTGACGCTTTGAAATCTGATGTCTTTGGTTCATCCTCTAGTTTCCCAAAATAATTATCTTGGATTAACTTATGTAGTAAACATTTTTCCCTTTCGTTTAATTTCGGGTTAATATCCCAGTTTTCCTCCTGTATCTCTTTTATTTCTTCTATTATACATGCTTTATTCTCCCATGTAATCTCTTTTCCCAATGTTTCTATTTCATTGCTGACTATTTCCCCAGCATCCGATTTCCCATTTTCTTTCATATTCTTACCATGTTCTATTGCCCCAACAGGAGTAGACCCTTCCTGTTGTGTGTTGTTTATTTCTGTTACCTTCCCTTTATCATTTTCAAAAAGGACACCGTTTTCATTCGGTTTTACTTTTCCATTTATTTTTAGCAGCCCTGGATTTACTTCAGGTTGAGGGTCTGCTTTTAAAAATAAATTGATACATTTTTTCCCGAATCTGTCACAAAATTCAGTTGGGTTCGGGTTCCCATTTTTCAAACATAAAACAATATTAAATATTTTTAGGAAGTCACGCCCGAGCACCAAGGTACACGGGGCGCTATCAGGCAAAACAATAAAATTCATTTTTCTTTTAACACCTCCGAACTCTACAAATGCCGGAAGACGTCCGCATACTTTCAGCTTTCTACCGTCCAAACCCTTATATTTAGAAACTCTCTTTTTTTTCATCTGAAGTTGTGGGGACACCGACCGGATCACTGATTGGTTAACAAAACTACATGGGCTACCCGTGTCAAGTAAGGAAGAAATAAGATGATCATTAGACCCCGTGTTACTGGGACTCAGAGCTACTCTCACCTGTATGTTCCAATCTACTTCCTCCTCGTCTGGGATTGCCGCTACCGTCCGTAGTGGGCAATTGATCTTCATGTGCCCCTTTTTTCCGCAAGTGAAACACGCTATTGGCCGCTGTCCCTCTGTGCAAGTTGTTGAATAATGCCCATACTTCGAGCATCGGAAGCACTTGACTGTTGGCGGTGCCTGCTTCACCACATCACTTTTCGGCTGATATTGTTTTCGGTCCGCCACCATTTTCTCGTATTTTGGTATCAGCTCTTTAAATTCGGCTACCGTGACCACCTTGAAGAATATGGAAGCTGCCACTGATTTGTCTAGCATACCATCCACTATGTACTCCACTATTTCTTTCTGCGAGAGTGGAGTGTCTTCCGCTAGTTGTTGCATTTCTAGGACATACCGGTGTAGGCTTTCTTTTTGTCTGTCCCATTTTCTAGCGTCCAACTTTCTTAGAGCTTCCTTCGCCCCAACTACTCTGCCAAACTCATTCAATAATTCTTTTTTCAGGCCTTCCCAGGAATTTGACTTTGTGCTGCGTAAAAACAGGGCCGCGCTACCTTTTAACATACGCCGTGCATAAATGAATTGTTCTGTTTTAGAGCACTTCATTACGTTGGTTATGTTGTCAAATTCCTGTATCCACTTTGTTATTATTAATTGGTTGTCCCCTGAAAATTTTGGCAACGCACCTTCCACATCAGAAAATGTGGCAACACTTTTTCTTGTTTCCAACTGTTCTTCCAGCTCGCTAATTTCTTTCTTTAGTTTCAAGATTTTTATTTGCCTCTCTAATTCTTGCATTATCTTGTCTTGTTCGCCAGCATGCTCTGGATTGCTCGCTATTTCGTTTCGTTTACTTGCATGCCCTTCTTTGTCTGTTACCACCCCAACTGCTTGTCCGTTTGCATGCCCTTGTTTGCTTGCCATTTCTTTTGTTGTTGTTGGTGTTTGTAACAGAACATCTGCTTGTTGTCGAGTCGTTGGCGTAATTGCGTTGTCTAGCTGTTGCTGTGTCTCTACATTTTCTGCTTGCCCTTGTGGTGGTGTGCCGCTAGCTGCTACGCTTACTTGTGGTGGTATTGGTGTCGGCGATGACGATGCACTCGATGAGACGCTTGCCCCTACCACTTCTCTCAACAATTCGCGTAGCTGGGCAATTGTTGCCGTTGGTGGAAAGTTGACTCCTGCCAGCCTCAGCTGGGCCACTAAATCTTCACGCACCATTTCCCTTTAATATTTTCAGTTTAATGTTCTAATCTTATTAAAAGATTTCACTGTTTGTTAATTTCACACTGGTTGGCGTCGTTCTCTTTTTTTTTTTTTTTTTTTCTCTCTCGCGTGTGTTCGGCCACACCTGATCTGTACACGTTTATTCTGTTTGGCAGTCAACTCACAACTGACTCGATTTATTCATACAACTCTTATTGTGTAGCAATGTGGTTATCGATTACTTGTTATCTTGCTACACATGAAATTTATATTTTCCCATTTGCAATGAACGAACAAATTTTAAAAATTTTTGGTCAATTGTATATTTTTTATATTCATTTGCTTTTTTTTTTTTTTGAATTTGTAACAGAAAAGTATTGGAAATCTTTCTGAGACTTTCATCTTACAATAATTCATATTATTTCATGAAAATATGTTAAGATGTAATGTTAGATAAGTAGGTGACAACGTTAGACAAAATTTTATCTAGAACTCGAATAAAGAAATTTTGTAAAAAAAAATTATTTTATTTGGCTCCAAACATCGTCAATATACATTCTAATCCTTTTTCTATATTTTAAAGAAAATTCCCTTGAGGACATGACAGCGTATACTTGTTGTCGTAACGTATACTGCACTTGTTTGAATATTCTCATTTGCCGCACGTTTTGTATTACATAATTTTGAAAAAAACTGACGTCACATTATTAAAATAATGATGATAACCATCGTAATTCTAAACATAATCCTAAACATCATCATCATCTAAAACTTTCTCCAAAACTTTTCAAAGAGTTCGCAAACAAGTCAAATTAAACTAATTAAACTGTGTTCACATGATTTATTACAAACAGAAATGAGTGGCAGGCATAACCATGACTACTTTCGCTAATGTACAACAAATAAATAAATAAATATAATTTCCTGTTGCCCGTGAGTCAAGTATGAGTGATGATTTTGTCATTTTTCTTTTCATTTCCTAAACTTGACATTCTCTTTTTTTGCATAGAAATTTTAAATTATGCTGAAGATTTGAGTGTATGCTTCTGTGTGTGTGTGATATGGCATATTTTTAATAACTCACAAATACAATTAAAGACTTTTGCATAAATAATGAGTAAGAGTGTTTAAAAAATATATATTTATATAATAACAACAAAAGCTGACATTAATTGCGTTAATGTCATTAAAAAGGCCATTGTTGTTGTTGTTGCTGAGAGAGTGAATGAGCGACATGAAGACTTCCCCTTTTTGAATTATATTTAATTTTATGTCGTTTTTTTCCTTGTTTTTATAATCAACAACACTTGACGTGCACTTCAGACATCCTAGAAGTGCTCGGAAACATTAAAAACAGTCATTCTGGCCATGACAATAAATGTTGAGAGAAGACAATGGAAAGTGAAACAATGGCATTGGCACTTGAGAATAAAATTTAATTATTAGAGCCATCATCACAAACATTTTATTGTGTAGCCTATAAATAATGAGAATATTATCAACAATAATAATCGATTGCGATTTGTAGAATGTCTTGTAAGAATAAAAATTTAATTACACTGTGTTACAAAATTTAATTTCTTTATAATTTCAATAAAAACACAGATGATTATGAACGTAGAGCAAATGTAGAAAAGCGTGGTACTGTATTCCCAATCATCTGCTAGAGAAGGCCCATTGTAAACTCTGCATACAAATCTTGAGATAATTTTGTTAAAAATTTTGGCTGAAATAGGAATAATAACCAGTATTGGGATGTAGCATGCTATGGGGATTATACGAAGACCTGTATAGACAATTTTATCTAATAGGAAAAAAATCTAAATTTCGAACCACTTCGGTAAAAATGAAAATACCGATTATTACAAGGTACCAGATCTCTATAAGCACCACTTACTTCAAATATAAAATTTGAAACAATTCCGGTGATAAGTGTGACAAAAATCGTCAATGTGCCGAATATCAGGATATGAGTTATATGGGGTCTACAGGGTGAGATGAAAAAACTGCAACAATGTCAAACGCCATAATTTTTACATTTTTATAACATACATAGTATGGAGGGTATATTAAAATCGTCATTCCGTTTGTAAAACATCGAAATAATCATTTCAAATATAACAAAGTATTTAGCCCAGTCCGTTCGACCCTCCGTCTGTTGTAATCACGCTAGAGTCGAAACGAATTAAGATAGGAAGCTTAAATATTGCACAGATCAGTTTTTTGTCTGCAGGGCAGGTCAAGTCAAGTTCGAAGATGGGCTATATCGGTCTGCGATATCGTATAGCCCCCATACAAAGGTACCTCCCACCCCCCCCCCCCCCCCCCCCCCCGATATTCGATAATGATTTTAGTCACATTTTCGAATGGAATTGTCTGAAAATCTACACGAGGAGTTCTCACTAATTACTTTACTCTCTGGAAGAGAATTGTTAATATAGGTCCACGATGTCGAATAGGCCCCATACAACGGTACCACCCGATATTCGGCATTTTGATGATTTTAACCACATTTTCCAATAAAATTGTCTGGAAATCAACGCAAGGAGTTCTTTCTGATTACTTTACCCTCTGGAAGTGAATTGTCTATATAAGTCTACGATATCGTAAAACCCCCATGCAACGGTACCCCAATATTCGGTATTTTGATGATTGTAGCCAATTTTTTTAATAAAATTTTCGGAAAATGCACACAAGGAGTTATTTCTGATTTTTCATTCCTTGGAAGATGATAGTCCATTTCGGTCCCCGATATCGTTTATCCCAAATACAACGGTATTTTGATGATTTTAGCAACATTTTTCAATGGAATTGTCTAAAAATCGATACTAGAAGTTCCAAGCACTTTACTCCCTGAAAGAGAAATATCTATATAGGTTCAAGATATCGTATAGCCCACATACAACGAAACTCCCCGATATTAGATATTTGGCGATTTTGGGGACGTTATTCACCGCAGTTGAAAATTGTTTATGCAGACCCACGTCTTCGTATAGCCTCCACCTAATGGTACATCTCAATGTTCGGCATTTTCATAATTTTAGCGACATCACTCACCGGAGTTGTTTCAAATTTCGTATTTAGAGTTAGTAATGAGAACTACAGTCTATGACAGAAAATGTCTATGCAGGTCAAGGCCCTTGTTCAAGCACCATATATCAGCACCTCCATATATTCGGCATTTTGATGATTTCAGCTACATTATTAACGGATTTTTTTTTTCAAGTTCCGTATTTAAATATTGTAATGGCTTATGACAAAAGTTGCCCATTGAGGTACACGTCTTCCTATAGACACCAATATAACGGCTATATTCTGTATTTTTGGAAATTTCCAAATTCGTTCCAAATGGTGGAGACCGAACTTTTTTACTTGTTTTTCTTATATTTTATTGAATGAAAGCAAAACATGTCGGAAATAGCATCACATTTTAGAATAAGTTTAGATTTGTTCGAATTGGGCACCTTTGGCACGAATTGTGGCCTACAAACGGCCAATGAAACCATCACACGCTGACCGAATGTTGATATCTTTGGTATTTTGGCCCATTCCCGGCAAAGCGCTTGCTTGAGGTGATCGAGACTTTGGTATTTTTTAGTGCCAACCTTGATTTACAAAATAGTCCAACGGATTGGTATCCGGAGATTTTGGTGGCCATTGTGCGCTGAAAATGAACCGAGGAACCTCATTTTGTAACTATACTTGGATGCTGAGTGCAATAGTGCTGAGTCCTGTTGGAATGTCCAAGGTCTGTGGCCAAAATGTTTGCGTGCCCAAGGCTTTAATACACCCTCCAGAATATTTTCGCGATAATATTCGGCATTTATTCTGATGCCACGGTCGATTATCACGAACGGAGAGCGACTATCGGCTGTTATGGCTGTTACGGCCTACACCATCACCATGGCCGGCGCTTGAGTTCTAGTGGTCAACCGAAGGTCCATATTTTCAGCTGACCTCTTTGGCAAGTAAACACGATCATTTTGTTTTTTTGCAAACTTCTGGCCAACGATTGTTTTCTCATTGGAGAAACCCAACCACATTTAATATCCTACACCACAAGGTGGTCAGGGTATTATGTCTTTGTGCATTTGTTTGTAACAGGCAAAAGGAAACGAGATAGACCCATAGTTCCTTTTGATGATCTGCATCGAATCACATTTTGAGTTGATGCCCTTCCGTCTATCCATGTATTTTTGTAAAAAAAGTACTGTTCGCATTTATTGCCCGATCCAAATCATTTGTGTGACCCAAGGACGAACCCTATTGAAATTGGAGATAATCGGTAACAATTTAGATATAGCTCCCATATATATCTTCGTCCGATTTGCCTTTTATTGTGCACCAAACGTGTAGTATCAGATCGAATAGTATGGAATTTTGCATATGCAACCAAATTAGGCCTGCAAATAAGTATGCAAAATTCGAAATCGGTTCAAAAGATACAAATGCTTCGGCATATTTAGTCCTTTGAACATTTAATTATCATAGCGTGTATGATTGAATTCTCCAATAAAAACTTTTAATTGTTATGTGGAGCTCTACTAAATTAGCAAAGTGGTGTAGGGGTATCATAAAGTCGTCCCGCCCGACATTAATACATTCTTTACTGGTTTTAATTTCATTGGCTTTACCCCGAGCTCATTCTTCAATATTTGCCGAATGGAATGTTGCGATATATTCAGCTCACGAGCTATTTTTCGGCCACTGCGACGCGGGTTTCGATCAAGTCGCTTCTTTACTTTCCGAACCATTTCTGCTGATGTTGCTCTTTTCTTCCGTGCACTTCCTTGACGTCGGGCTACGCTACCAGTATCACGGTAATGAGCGATAGTACGATACATAAAAGACTTATTCACATATAAATGCTGGAGTGCTCTAGCGATAGCCCCTTGTGGTTTTCAAGCCAAATATTAAGAAATCGCACTATCACGCTTGAATTCTATCACGAATAGCTTTTTTTTTTTGGAAAATTCTAACCAAAAAGCTCTTGTACTCTTGTAAACAATATAAATAGCTATCACTGGAATAATTTTAACAGCTGTCGGATGAGTGGCTTAGAAATGACAGCAGTCGGAAGTTGCTTGCAATTTTTTCATCTCACCCAGTATCTTCAGCGGATTTTGGGCTATTTGTGCACCAAATGGGCAATATCAGTCCAAATGACCTGTCTTTTGGCACATCCGACCGAATTCAGTCTGGAATCAAGTACTTCAAATTTTTTGAAAATATTTTCAAATATAGCTATAGCTCCAATTTATATGTTTGATTCGATTTGATGTTAAAGTATTAATATGCGCTCCAAAAGAATAGTATTTAGTACCAGATATCATAAATACATCTGACAAATTTTACCAAGATCGGTTCAGATTTGGATAAAGCTCCCATATATATCCTTAATCCGATTTCAGGTTTATTGTGAAAATAATGGCTAATATCAGCACAAATTAAGTGAATTTCGGGAAGTAAGTTTCCATTTAGTGCAACCCGCCTTCTCGAAGTGATATCATGCACTCTATAGCAATGCTATTTGGTATGAAAGATTAATACGTCTCCGTCAAATTGGTGAATATCTTTTCAGAATAGGATATGCCTCCCATGTATTAGTTCCCTCTGAAACCAAACTATAACTGCTCTAAAACCAAATATTGATAGATGGTATGATCTACTTCAAATGAATTCTCTTGTTACGGGAGTTCTACTAAATTTGCGTAGTGGCGTACGGTATCATATAGACGGCCCCGCTCGACTTTAGACTTTTCCTTACTGGTTAGTACTTAAAAATGTAAAAATTTTGTAATCTGACATCGGAAAACTTTATCTTCTTCTGTGATCTCAACTACATCAGGATATGTATTTTGAGAAGTCCTATTTGTTGAATGTTTTTAATTATTTTTGAAAATAAATTTCCATCTAATTTTTAGGATTTTCTGGATGCATTGTTAGCTTTTTCAAAGCTTCTGGCTTATATTCATTCCAGAATCAACAATTCTGCTTATTTACGTACTCATGGAACCAAAAATGGAAAAATTGTGTGAAGAACTTTCTTCCTTTGCAAGCTTTGGGTCAATTATGGACCAAACCTATGAGGTTTGACTGTGACAAAAAACACGAAGGAGAATAATTCACCCTTTATAAGGATTTCATATTATGGGGTCTGAAATAAAAAAATTGTGGATAAAGGAAGCTGACAGATTGGTTAGATTTTTGAGTTTTAGGATTTGCTCATCCAGTGAATATAAAGAATTAAAATTAAATATGTACTTTAAATATAATCCCTTTTCCCTTTTATTTTCTAAGAACCTCAATATCTACCACAATATGTTCCGGGTGTCAAATGTACCCATTTTTATTTATTTAATTTAGTTTTTGTTTCTTCTCCCTACCTCTTTCAAATAGTTTATTTTATTTGATTCTTGTGTTGATTTGCTAAAATAAAAATCAATTTAAATTTAATTTCCTCTTTTTTTTTTTTTGTTTGCACTCTCTCGAAAATGTCCAAAAAAATTAAAATTCTCCCCGTAATACCCGAGTGTGTGTGTGGACTCAACAACCAAAAAAAAAAAAAAAACAACAAACAAACAAGCAAAACCCATTTTCCCAGAACCAAATCAATTTATAGGCAATAAATTCAAAACATGTTCACGTAATTGAGAGTTTTAAACCTAACTCGATTTAGTTTTTGCTTTTTATGACAGCAGTTTGGGCAAAAACCAAAATTGAAAA